CCTCAAACTCCTAGACTCAAGCGATCCTCCTGCCTCAGCCTCCCAGGTAGCTGGGACTACAGGCACGTGCCACCATGCCCGGCTAATTTTTTCGATTTTCAGTTGTTTGGCTAATTTCTTTCCATTTATAGTAGAGACGGGGTCTCCCTCTTGCTCAGGCTGGTCTCAAACTCCTGAGCTCAAGCAATCCTCCCGCCTCGGCCTCCCAGAGTGCTAGGATTACAGGCATAAGCCACCGTGTCCGGCCTAGAGAAACTTATTCGGATTGCCTTGCTGTCACATCCAAGCACTGCTCCTTGTTGAATGTCCCTGTCATTCACCACATTTTGCTCCCGTGGACTCTTGGCTATTTCCAAAATTAAATTCCCCAGGCAAGAATTATGATGTGACACTATGGTCACCCCTCAAGACACATAAATGCGAAAAGAAAATTAGAGAAAATTTAGGAATTTGAGAAGTGAGTCAATTACGGTGTGATTCCATGTCATTTCCTGCATTATTAATGAAGCATAGACTCTGGGCTGCTCATAGCATGCCCAGAGTGTGTCACTGAGCTCTGAAAGCTGGGCATAAAAGGAGAGACACAAACACAAACAAGATGAAGAGACCTGGGGCAGTGAAGGGACCAGAAATCATGTCCCAGAAGCAAGAAAATCTGGAGAAATATCAAGTTCTCCTTTCAGTATCTGGAAGCTACCAGGTAATAGAGAGATTAGACATGTTCTATGCAAGCACAGTGAGTTCAACTAGGACCAATGGGTAGATGGTATCTGGAGACAGATTTTGCTTTACATAGTTCTTAATCTCAGAACTGCCCTGAGATTGAGTGGATTCCCTTGGGTGTGGTAATGAGTTAACTGTCACTGAAAGTGTTCAAGCACACTGTGAAAGATCACTTAGCAGTGATACTAAAGAGAAGACGCAAGCATAGGCAGAGAAGATGTGGTCTCGAAAGTACCTTTCATTTGCAAAACTAAAGCAAGACGAGATCAATAACAGTTATGGAACAGGTGGGGCTTTTACATAAAACAAAAAAAAAAACATATTAAGACTTATTTGACACTTCCAGTGTCATGACCTCATCCTGTCATGCTAAGAAAAAGTAGCATGTTAGAGCGTAAAAAGGCCATCTTCATCTTCCTGTCCGTGCTGCATGTCATTGAGAACATTTTTACATTCTCCAGCATTGTCTAGCCTGGAAACAGAAAAGCAGGGTTGATGATGGGAGACACCAAGACCAGAAAAAACAAAACGAAACCAAAAAACCCAGACGCTGCTGAGTTATAAGGCAACTACCTTGAGTTCAAAGGACTCACAGTCCCTTTAGCCCAAGCTTCACATTTTACAGATGGGAAAACTGAGGCTTCAAGGGATAAAGGGTTTCTGCCAATCTATTATAATAAGGCAGTTAAAAAGTTCGTTAACAAAATATAAAATTATGATCTAAATGCATTTATTTACCAAAAAGTCTCCAAGTATGACCTTGGAAGTTCACCTTGCGGGGCCTCAGTTTTCCTACTTATTAATATTTATTTGTAAATAAATATGATTGCATTGATACAATTAATTAGCGAAGGCAAGGCTTTCATTAATGGCTTACACCAAATCTTTTTCTTTCTTTCTCAAAGAGCAATAGAATAAGGCAGATATCCAAAATCTCTTACTAGAGAATGTTCAAATAGTATTTTTCAAAAAAACCCAAAAAACAAAAAAGCTGCTCCCATGGTCTAATTGGGCAGAGGAATAAAATCCCAGGAATAATATTCTACATGTTTTTTTCATTTTCCATACTGCCAACTCTCCTCTTAATGAACTCCAGCTTAACAGTATCCTCTTAAAGTGAGTCACCCAGAGTTAAGCAAAGAATTTCCAGCACAGAGTGACATATCACCTTCTTTCTTTTGCATGCCATACCTCTATTAATGCCACCTGCCTTTGTATGTGCATTTTGCTCATACAGTGTTAATCTAGACAGAGGTTAATGTGAGCTAAAGCTACATAACTTTTTCACCTCTAATGTCACATCTTTCCAACCCTGTGCTTAATCAGAACACAAGCACAAGTCATTAAACCACTGAGTAGTAGCTAATCATTTGTAACAGCTTGTACAATCATTACAACAATCATTCATGCAAGGTAAATTACCTTGTGTGTTTCTGTGAACAATTGGTTTCCATGACTTTCCCTGAAAAGACAAGGCCACAGGGTGAGCAGAGTAGCTATGGTAGACAGAACACGTAAAGTGCTGGGGGCAGGCACGGGCCAAAGGTGAGGGGTAGGGACTGGCATTGGCAGGGTAAGCCATACCTGCTTCCAGTTCAAATGCTTGCCTTTTTAAGGACCCAGTCAGTGCCCATCAATTACAAAGTTGTTCCAACGTGGTGGGCAATGGTGTTAAGCTGTTTCATTTTGAGTCATCTGCTTATTCAGAATTCAAGTACTCATTTGGGTTTTAAAACACTTCTTTATGAGACATACCCAGAATTTTCCAAAACTGTCACCTTTGTATGAGAGCTAACGGCAGTTAGCCCTTTAAATTCCCTCTTGCAATTTCACCTGGGGCAGATGTTGAACTATAAAAGTTTCACTATTGTTCAAACCAGCTGAGATGGTTACTAGTCTTACCTGACTGCCCTGAAACAGCTTTTGTTAATGACTACAGAACAATTTCTCTCCATTTTGCAATAGTACCAGGTGCCACGTGCTTATGCTTTGCATGAAAACTATAAATCTTGTTTCATGGCTCCTTTCTGTAGTGTTTTAAAATGTTTCTCGGTGGCAGAGGTATAAGGTCATGGAACAGATTGGGAATTTAATAAAAACTATGGATCCTGTCCCCTAAAATATACAGGCATGAACATACAAGCACTTTTACACACACTTTCAACGGATTCGCAGCTCCCCCGAAATCCATCTGTGGCCCCTAGGTTAAGAAAACTTGCTATCAGGGAACACATAAGAAGACCAGGACCATTCATGGTTTTCTTCCTGGGACGGTCCTAGCCAAAAGAAGAGGCAGGCAAGCATTTTCTTAGCACTAGGGCAGTGATAATTACAGTACTTTCCACTGAAGGCAGTAATGAGGATGAAATGAATTAGGCACATCAAGAGGATAGCTTCAGCACTGGTGCAGAATATGTGTGCAATAAATGAAGGTGCTCTTATTACGTTTTTGTTTTTGTTTTTTTCTTTTCCAAAATGTTAACTTTACCAGGAGGATAATACACCAAGCCATTAGCACCTTATGGAGACTGAGTTTCCCTATGACCTCGCTGACTGGGATGGGGACAGTGATAGAACTGAGCCTCTTTGGGGAGGGGAGGGGAGGAAGGAAAAGAAAGCAGAAACCACCCACTCTCCCATACTTCTGGAGTCACCAGGGTCTGAAGGGCTCTATCTTAGCAAGTCCTGCCCTCCTTACCTCGCAGGAGAAACGTCAGGAGCAGTGCCAACAGCACGAACCCCAAGGAGGACGCAATGATTATCATCAGGTTGTTGAAGTTGGGCGTTCCCATCACCTGGTGAGACACAGGCAAGGCCACGAGCGGGCCCAGTCATTGCTCGACGCCATCATCGCAGGACCACACCCCATCCCAACAACACCTTCCAATCAGCAACAGCTTTGTCGCATTCCGCCACCTTCTGCCCAATGTGTCTCAAAATCAAAACAAAGCCAGCTTTA